GGGGAGCCGGGGTCCGGGGTCCGGGGCTGCGAACTGGGGGCCGGGGGTCAGGGCCGCAAGAAGGATCCAGTACTCTGCCGGGCGCGGTGGGGTCTGGGTCTGGGGTCCTAGGGGCTCCGGGTGTGAGTCGCGACGCAGGGGCTGGGGTAGGCGCTCAGCTCGATCCGGGGTCCGGGCCCGGGGTCAGAGGCTTAGGGTCTGGGGCTGACGGTGGGGGCCGGGGTCTGGGGCGGGTGGTGGGGAGTGGGGGCCAAGGGCGGGTCGCGGTCCGGAGTCAGGGCGGGGGACCAGGTGGAGCAGGCCGTGACGGACCGCGGGGATCCCGGAGGTGGCAGGGGCCGGGTCGCGAGTCTGGGTGCGGTGAGGGCGCGAGGTGTGTCCCGGATTCTGGGACACAGGACGAGGCTGGGTCCACGGTCCAGGGACCGGGCCGCGGACCCGTTGGGTCCTGAGGATCCGCGCAGGCCTTGGGGATCTGGGGGCGGGACCAGGGGCGGAGGCCGCGGGGTCTGGGGCGGAGCCTGGAGGCGGGGCCAGGGGCAGAGGGCGTGGCTGGCCTCTGGAGCCTTGGCCCCGGATGGGGTCAGAGTCTGTGGACCCCGCCCGGGCCGCGTGTCCTTACCCGAGCGAGGCGGCGGTTCGGCAGAGGTGCAGGGGCGCCAGGCCCTCGGCGCTGAGCAGGTCGGGGTCGGCGCCGTGCTGCAGCAGCAGCTGGGCGCAGGCCGTGTGGCCCCCCAGGCAGGCCTCGTGCAGGGCTCCCTGGCCACCGGGGCTGGCGTCGGGGTCCGCGCCGCGGCTGAGCAGGTGGCGCACGCAGGCCGTGTGGCCGCGGGCCGCAGCGATGCACAGAGGCGTGGTGAGCTCACGCTTGTACTCCAGGGTCCAGAGGCCTGGGGGAGGGGAGAGGTACAGTGAGTGGGGGACCGGTGGGGGGCCGTGTCCCTTAAGGCCCAGCTAGCGTGAAACCATCTCTTAGAAGTAGCTACCGGGTGGACACGTAGGTACATAAAGAAACATAGACGATATAGAGGCATGTAAAGACGCAGACGATTGGGACCAAGAACCCCAGTGAGTTCCAGCTAGAGGCACAGATCTAGCTAGAGGCACAGATCTAGCTAGGCGCACAGAGAGAGAAGAGGAGAGGAGAGGAGAAGGGCCATCTCCCACCCTAGGGTGACAGGTGCAAAGACAAAGGCAGAGGGGCAGAGAGAGATCTCCAGGAAAACTGAAGTGTAGGAAGTGGGGAGGAGAGTCTCACAGGCCCAGGAGAGGGAGATGAAGACCCAGGAGGGAGAAAAGGAATAAAAAGAAGGTTAATAGGGGCCAAAACCGAGCCGGAGGGAGTGGACCGTATTGAGAAGCAAGAGGGGTCTTGCCAAATAGGGGGGCGACTGAGGACGAGGCGAGGAACTGAGGAATGGAGAGCCGGCCAAGTAGGTGGATGGTGGGAGAACGTAAGCCAGGAATTCACATTTCCCAGGCTCTGAATTAGGGACAGCCTGAGGGAGGAAAGTGAGCTGTGGATTTTTCTGGAATCCAGCTCTCTCTCGTTGAACCCCAAACTTATCCCTTTATCATTAGCGGGAGAAGACAGTCGGCGAAACAAACTGACCCCCTGCACCAAGGCTGCTCAAGGAAAGGCCTTAGAAAGTTTAGTCCTCTTGGAAGCCACTGGGTTTCAGAAGCTCCCTTTGATGTGGTGTCCACATTCAGCACAATTCTGGTTTGTTTCTTTGCGCTTTTTAGGGTTGTGTGTGTGCGTGTGCGCGTGTGTGTATAGGGTTGCTCTTTCTTGACGGATGAATGGAGCAGGTGCTACACATTGTACTTCTCTGAAAACTTTGGGCTTTCAAAAGGCCCATGGAAGGTTGTTAGCGGCCAGGAGCGCTTGTGGAAATGGGGGAAGCAATCCCTGGTGAATACACTTCAAGGGACAGGATTTCACATGGCAGGAATGCCTTCTGATAATGATGGAAGAATCGATACCATGGCTGTAATGAGCTGCAGAGGAGACCCTTTTCACAGGCCACCTCCTTCCTGGGACCCATGCTGAGCAGGTTTTGAAAGACCACTCATAATTACCTACCTGCATGTGATGCAGGGTTCCAGCCTGCCCTGTGTCCCCGAGGCCCAGCCCGAAGGTTGTCGCACACTTAGGTGGGGGATGTGCCTGTCATCCCGGCAGTGGGTGGTGGTGGCTAGCTGGGCCCTGGCACGTGGGCCTGCACGGGTTTGGTCTGCCCTTCCCAGTGAAGACCGGGCGTGATTTGGACAGATGCATATGGTCCCTGATGGTAACGGTGGTCTACATGCTTGCTCCTGGTTCTGGCTGGATTCGTTTTCCTGAGCTAGGAAGTCTACTTCCTGGGCTAGGGAGGGCAAGGAAGGGGGGGGAGCACCCAGACTCCATCCTCTGGGGCACACCAAGTTCCCAGCCCAACTCCACCCACCCCAGCAGCTCCCTTCACCCACCCCTGGATTCCTGAGTCTTCCCAAGGACTGAAGGAAGGAGTCTGGGCTGGGCGTTGAGCTCAGCCGGAGCTTGAGGCCAGCACCTCCGTCCGGGTCCTGGGAGATGGTGGTGGGCTTCCCCTTTCTTGAAGGTCTTCAAGAAAACCCGAGTTCTGAGGCAGCTGTGTGGACCACAGAGCCTGAAGCAGCTGCCTATACCACCCACTCCCCGGTCCTGGTTCCGCCACCAGGAGGAACGTGGACACAGGCTTCTCCCCACGTGGCACATCCCTCCAAACGTCAGCTCCTCATGCCAACGCTGTCCTTGGACTGCGACTGGCATTCCATCCTGGGTGCACCGAGGTACTGGGGGGCTGGCCCTGTGAACCTGCTGGTGTACTTCCGTCCCCATGACTCCCTTCGGGGGGCGCTGGGATTGGCCACCAGGAAGTTCTCATGTGGGAGAGGGTGCTGTTCGCAAGCCGTGTTTGGTCATTTCTGCCGCGTGGTCAGCTGCAAGGGGCGTCGAGTGGCTGAGCCCAGGGAGCACGGACAGCCGCAGCCCTGAGTGCCACCCACCCTCTCTTCCTGGTCCGCACGGAGGCCGTAGGCCAGCACTGGCACTCAGGGCTGCCCCATCCACGGTGACAGCTCACCGCCTTCTCCGTCAGACTGCCCTAACTTTCTGTTGTGCGGGCGTGCCACGCCAGAGAAACCCAGCAGAACTCAGAGGTGGAAAGATTAAGGCAGAAAAAAGGAAGACGCCTTTGGATTCAGACCATGGGTTGAACGTCAACACTTCTTTGAAACTGCAACGTTTGAGTGTGGTTGAGTGTGTCCAGGGCTGGGTGGTACGTAATTTAAAAAATTAGCCTTAATCGAGCATTCAGCAATTCACCGAGCCCTCCCCGACCCCATAAGTAGACTTCCTAGCTCAGGAGGACGAGTATAGCCCTTTGGCCGTGTTTTGGGTTTATTTCCCTCTCCCTGTGTGGGGTATAAGCAAGACGGTGTCCGTTCTTTGGAAACTGACCTTCCGCATTCTTTGCCTGCCGGAGCCCACAGGTCAGACACATGGGACACGGGACGCTGGCCGTTGGCCCACTGACCGCAGCGTCTCAAATGCTCTTAGTCTGGCAGAGCTGTTGTGCCAACGCGTGAACCCTCGTGATAAATGTGTTGCATCTGGACCCCCTGGGAAAAGGGTGCCCTGTGCGGAGTGCCAGCCGAGAAGGCCCTGGCAACAGCCTGGTGGTCAGGAAGTCTCATCATCCCGAGTGGGGTAAAGGGGTGTCTTTCTCCTTGGGGGGGTGTCTCTTGCTGGCCCAGCACATAGCAGTGTTCAGGCTACAAGAATGCGCTCAGACATACGACTTAGGGACCTCTGATTTCTTCCCCTCCCTCCCCCGTTCTCCGGCTCCCTTGGGTTCCGGGCGGAGCACCTGCTAAGGGCTCTCCCTCTGCTGATGCTGGCTGTGCCCCAGCCACCCTGCTGTAGCTGTGGTGCTCACAGGTTCCTAGAAGGCCCTCAAGCCGAGCTACGTGCCAGGGGACAGCTTCCGGGAGCACTCGGACGCGAGGCGTTCCTTCTCCGTCTCCTGCCTCCCCGGATTCCAGGTGCAGGCACTGGTAGGCGAGCACCCAAACCGATGCCCTCTTTGAAAGACAAGAGACGCTTCCAGCATCAGATGGGCACTTCTTACCATCCTTTTGGCCTTTCTAATTTGATTTCTCGCATCTCAGAAACCAGATGTCACTTATAAGCATCCTTTGCTCGAGTGTGTGAAATGTGGCGCCCCCGTGAGCGGTCTACACCCTGGACTTACATGTCCAGCGGAGTGTTAGTGGCTCCTGAAAAACAACTAGCCGAGCTTTAAAGGAAAAGGGGTACCTGACAGTCCAAACGTGGCTGGGGATTTCACCTGCCACTCCATCTCATCCTTCTTGATCTCGAACACCACATTGGCATCCTGGAAGAACTCGTTCATGAGCAGCTCAAGACGGCTCAGGTCTCCCGTGACCAAGGCAGCATGGTACTCGAGCACTGGGGACCCGGCTCTAGCTTGAAGCTCTTTGTCCATCTTCTGAAAGATGTGAAGCTCTCCCCTAACCGGCTCTGGCCATCTCTCCATTGCCAGGCTGCTGATTTCAGAAGAGTTCTTCAGGAAGGGGAAAGATGGTCCTATGGAGTGTGAGCTATTTCTATTGTCATTACTCGATTGTTATCCAGTTGGGGCTCGGTGGCGGTGTATTTATAACTCCTGCGGGCTCCGCTGTGATCATGGTTACTTGATATGATCAGCATCGTGTGACCACTGGGATGCCAGTGTGCTCAGCCACCGCCTTGTGGTTATATAGATTCAACTCCCGGAGAGCGACACATCCATTTATCCCCAAGACAGCTCTGCACCCAAGGGCGGACACCCTCAAGTGGGCGGGGCTTCTCTCTCCTGCTCTATAGGATGTCTTGTTCCTTTTGACCTATCACTTTCTCTGCTGCTGTGAACAAGGGTGGGTGGATGTGTGCCCCGAGGGCTGTGTCAGCCCTGAGCACGTTTGAAGGAGGCCCAGCTGGACGCTACAAATGACTAGGCTCTAGGCAAGCGTCCCTGCGTGGGAGGCTTCATAGGGCACACCAGAGATTCCCAGAGCATCACCTGGGGTCCCTGGTGGCCTGCGAGTCTCTTCCAGTTGTTCAGGACTGACCCCCTTGCCGCAGACGGGAAATGCCACAGTTTCTGGTTTTTAAATGAATGGTAATAGCTTTTTGTTAGTAGCTTCGTAATTACTCGTTGAAGTTTAGTGAAGGGCTTTATTTTCTCACCTAAAAATTAATGAAATCATTTTTTCTTATAATGTAGGTGAGACTCAGTTCTTACATCTTTTTTTTTTTTTCTTACTCTTGTTTTTCTCCTCCTACTAGGAAGTTAGAATGGGCCACTGTCGTTGAGTGGTACCATCCTTCGCCATCACTGTGTGAGTTGTAATAAAACCCTGTGACCAGAGGGAGGACGGAAGCTCAGGAGGGTGCTGTCCTGATGGGCAAAGAGGAAGCGGTGGGACACATGCCCAGGACAGTTACACACACAGGGGTCCCGAGGGAGGGGTAATAACAGGAGCCACCATCCAGTGGGCCCAGCGTTGGACACACACCCGTGGGGTCGAGTCGCTACGTGGATCCTGAAGCTGTAAACACCACAGAGACAACAGGACTTCTTTCGTACTGTTTTCCGCAGTGGTTGTACCAATTAGCCTTCCTACCAACAGCACGCAAGGTTTGCTTTTTCTTCACATCCTCGCCAACGCTGTTTCTTGTGTTTTTGATTTTCGCCATTCTGACAAGTGTGAAGTGACAGCTCTTTGCGGTTTTTTTTGTTTGTTTGTTTGCGTTTCCCAAATGATTACGATGTTGAGCATTTTTTCATACGTTTGTTGGCCATCTGAATGTCTTCTTTGAGAAAATGTCTACCCAGGTCCTCTGCTCACTTTTAATTGGATTATTATTACTGTTTACTTGGTGTGGAGTTATCTAAGTTCTTCATATATTTTAGATATTAACCCCTTATTGGATGTGTCATTTGCAAATACCTTCTTCCATTCAGCATGTTGCCCTTGTGTTTGTTGATGCTTCCTTTTGCTCAGCAGAAGGTTTTTATTTTGGTGTAATCCCAGTAGTTTAATTTCGCTTTTGTTTCCCTTGCCAAAGGACACATATCTAGAAAAATGTTGCTATGATTGATATCAAAGAAATTACTGCCTATGTCTTCTTCTAGGAATTTTATGGTTTCAGGTCTCACATTTAGGTCTTTAATTCATTTTGAGTTTATTTTTGTGTTTTGTATAAGAAAGTGGTGCAGTTTCATTGTTTTGCATGTAGCTGCCCAGTTTTCCCAATACCATTTGTTAGAGACTGTCTTTTTCTCATTGGATGTTTTTGCCTCCTTTGTGGAAGATTAATACTCCGTATAAGCATGGGTTTATTTCTGGACTCTGTATTCAGTTCCATCGATCTATGTGTCTGTTTTTGTGTCACTACCATACTGCTTTGATTACTACAGTTTTCTAGTATATCTTGAAATCTGGGAGTATGATATCTCCACTCTAGCTTTGTTCTGTTTCTTTTTTTTTTAATTTAATTTAATTAAAAGTTTTTTTTTAATGTTTATTTATTTTTGACAGAGAGAGAGACAGAGCATGAGCGGGGCAGGGACAGAGAGAGAGGGAGACACAGAATCCGAAGCAGGCTCCAGGCTCTGAGCTATCAGCACAAAGCCCGACACGGGGCTCAAACTCACAGACTGTGAGATCATGACCTGAGCCAAAGTCGGCTGCTCAACCAACTGAGCCACCCATGCACCCCACCTTGTTCTTTTTCAAGACTTGCTTGGCTATTTAGGGTTTGTGTGTGTGTGTGTGTTTGTGTGTGTGTGTGTGATTCTCTGTACATTTTAGGATTATTTGTTCTAGTTCTGTAAAAAAAATGTTGTTGGTATAGGGATTGCATTAAATCTGCAGACCGCTTTGGGTGGTGTGGACATTTCAACTGCATTGGTTCTTCCAGTCCATGAGGATGGATCTGTGAGGGCTCCTTAAAACCTCATTTCACATGTTTTAAAGTTTACTTCCCTTGTATCCCGCAGCAACAGCAGCAAAGACAGAATCAATGTCATCAGTGGAGCAGCAGCGATTTTTTTCAAGGGTCCCTCTGTGCCTAAAACTCTGCTGGGTGCTATAGACAGTGCAGTGGTAAGGAATATATAGACCATGTTTGCAAGGAATGGAGAGCTTCCATTGGACACAAGAGGCACGTGCATGCAGAAAATGATGAAAGGTGACACTACGTGACCATTTCCCTTGTCAACTACACACTGGAATAAAGCCAATCACTCTCCCCACTTCATCTACCTACCATGACGTTGCTCTGTCAGTTTCAGTGGCAATATTAATTCTTCAGATTTTTCATTTCTCTAAGCTTAGTCATGTTGCCATGTTATTTTTCTCAGACTGATTGCGATTAGTTCATTTCTAAAGGACTTATTCACATACAACTATAATATGACCCAACTTGTACTTCACTTTAAACTGAAGAATTCCTTTGTCCCCGATATATTTTGTCATGGGTTATTTTTAAAGGGATGGGAAAACTGGAGGTGAGTGCAGGGATAAGAGCCATTCTGGCTCGTATCCTATGCTAAATTTAGCTTTCCATGCGTCATATTTGTCAACAGTGCCCTAAATATCCAAGCTTGATTTCAGTGGTTAGGGAGTAGTAGTCCAGAAACAGACGTGGTTCCTTGTGAGAGCTTCAAAAATGGCTCATGGGAGACAGCGTTGGTTTTACAAGTAGGACGTGTAGATTGTTTCAGGAGAATTCCAGAGGTGCCTTAAAAAAAACCGATAGCCATATGTGTGATTATTACATTGAAAAAAACAAGATAGGACAAAGTAAGAAGCAAAAGACCCCACTGATACCTGTAAACAAATTCACTCGTTCATCTATTCATTCAATAAACATTTGTGGAATATTATGCTCTACGGCGTGTCGTTCACTTTTGGGGATACAGAGACAAAAAATACAATAGCCCTGCCCCCGAGAACCACACAGGAAAAAGCAGTGACCACAAGACCCCAACCCACAGGAGTGCTTTAGTCTCTCCTTCCCACTAGCTGAACAATGTCCTTTAGTTGCAGGTGAACAGCACTTTTCCTGACCCAACGTTGGGCCCCTTCTTGCTCACTGTAGTTTTGTCCATCCATACCTTGCTTGGGTCAGGCCATTTTGATTTCATTTTCGTTGTCTTCGCCCTACTCAGCTTAATCAAGCACGGGCTTGCGAAGATGCCGCTCAAACCTTACCTCCTCTGCCTGTTTCAGTCCAGATGAAAAACTCAGCTTCTTCTAAGAATGACTTTGTGTATGACGTTGCTGAGCAAGTATTGAAATCCTGGAGGAATTGTGGTACAACAGAAGGACCAGAAAGACCAGAGTTTTAGTTTTCAAATAAGTAAAGGATTTGATTTTCCCAAGTCTGAATTGACATCAGTGTTGGGCAAGATCTCTAAAGATGAAAAAGACGGTTTGGGTACCGTCTTAGAAAAGGGAGTGGGGGTACTTGGAACTCTGTGGGTCACCAGGAACAAGTCAGGTTGGATAAAATCATTTTCCTTGGTGACACGGTTATTTCATTAATATGTAGAGGGCACATCGGCATGGGTCATGTTTCAACCTGCCGTGGAAGGTTTCCTGAAAACCTTTTAGAGGAGGTGGACAAAATGTGGGTCTTCTTTTAGGAAAGTCCTGCTAAAAACTCCAGCTGGAGAAGTAATACACTGCCTTCAGAGCAGTGGTTCCAGTCTTGACTGTAAAATGGAACCACCCGGAAAGCATTAAAAAGATGCGGATGCCTGGATCCCTTCCTGAGAGACTCTGGTGTCAGGGGTTGGGGGGTGCAGCCTGGAAATCAGGTCTGTCTGTTAGACCTGTCCACCCTCACCCCACAGGTGCTTCCAATGTGCAGCCAAGGTTTTCAGTCTGATCCTGTACAAGACATGCTTATGGATGATTTGGGTGAACATTCAGGAGGGTGGATTTCATAGTGTTGGGTGACATGCAGCCTGATGTAATCACAATTCCAAAAGATCTCAACAGGCCAGAGCAATGGGCCTGATTCAATCGGTGCCGCACGGCAACATTAAAACCCCAGGCACATAGGATCCTGTTGTCCTTGTGGGTCAAGTGGCTGAGACTGCCGCACACCCTTGGGGGCTCCTGTTTGTGGCACTAGAGGGTGCTTTTTCTTGTTTTTAAGGCCAGAGGTTAGTGGTGCTGTTGTCGATGTTTGTACCCAAATTTAGGCAACATAAATGCAGCAAATATTTGACATTATTTTAAACCATTCAGAGCCTCTCAGTGCAGAGTACCTTGTGTCGGTCAGGTGTCAGGTCGAATTTCCTTCTTCCTGGAGACCGTGGGCTTTGTAGGACCTGGACTCCTCCCCTGGAACCCTGGGGGGTGGGAACCTGTGCTTTCTTGACCTCTCTGTTTGCTCAGACTGTATATGGTCTGTCCTGCCCCCATACTGGGGCATAAAATTTGCTCCTGAATTATTATTTTTTTGGTTGGTTTGTTTGCCATCCCACTAACAGCATCACATAGTGAGATTGGCAACTATCCTGAAGATATGAAGTGTCCATCACCACGTGCACGATCTTACCCCACCTCTCTCCTCTG